GGCAGCAGTTGAGTCTAAGCAGTACTGCTTGAATTTTCCCTAGTTTCCCAACTGCCCCTCTGCTCCGCCAGTTCTCTCCTCCCTGCCTGCCACCCTTTCCCCCTCTCGGTACCGAAACATCCGGAGCGAGCACGACACTCCACTGTGCAGTCTGCCTGAGCCACCTTCCCATTGCTCCTTCAGCCTTGTACCCTCCTCCTCAGATAGCCTAGGGCCATTTTTAGCAACCATTTCCTCCCGATTAGGAGCAGCCACTGCTCAACCCTGGACTCACAGGATTTTCCAAAGATCATCCCAAGAACACCTTCATCCTCTCAAATAGAGATTTCGCATGTGTTGAAGAGTAGGCTCTCCACTGCGTTCCTACCCTCCTGCCCAGGGAGGGCTAGTCTACTGTCTCTGATTTGACTCTGCTAGGTGCCTCCCCTAAAACGCACGCTACAGCTTTTGTCCTTTCGTGTCTGAATTCTTTCACTTGGCATAACATCTCTGAGGTGAGACTGGGGCTTAATGTGGATCCCGATTTCCTTCCATTGTACGGATAACGTGTTTCACTCATCCGTCTGTTGTGAGGTGTTCTGGATTGTTTTTGCGTTTTGCGTTTTTTGGATAAAGCTAGCACGAACATCAGTACAAACGCAGACGCGCACCGCTAGTGACAATGATATGCTCTGAAAAGTGCAGCTACGTGAATGTGTCTTGTGCTAGCACAACAGATGGCACCCACAAAGACCTAGACAGTAAAGGATGGTCGCTCCACACGGCCTTCAGACGCAGTGAGGAGATATACATTTGTTTCATGAGACCATTGCCAGAGTAACAACAGATTTAAACAACAGATTTACAGCCTAATTTAAAATGAGTATGAAGTGTACACTCTAAAATAATAGGAAACGTTGCAGATACATGAGCAAGTCAGTCACTCATTATCGAGTATAATTTATGTGCACAACGATCAGCGCTTTCCTTTTGTTTTATGTGTTTACTTACATTAACATCATCACAAACCTGTGGGTAACTCTCGCCCTTTAACCTCAGTGGACTATGGCACACTAGGCAATAGGAGCCTGTGAGTTTCATTTGAACCCCATGGGACTGACTACCGTGGGGCCAGAGGCCCACCACTGACCAGACAGACCATCCTCGGCTGCTCACAGCTGCATCTGAGTCTCTGATTTTGAGCTTTTGGAATGACAACTTTGATTGTTTAAAGGAACCACTAAACTGTTCCCATAGCACTCACCAAACCGTTTTCATAGCACTAACACGTTGCTTCTGGGGGTGGAGGTGAGGCTGTGGTTTCAGTTTATGAACCGTGCTGTTCAGATTCTCTCTTGGAGAGAGACAGTGAACAGTTAGTGTGATGACGCCTTTGTGTGGTCCTGAAGACCTATCGACTCCACAGTCATTCCATAATGACCCTGTGTTGTAGGGAGGCTGGGAATGAGCCACCTACCTGCTGGTAGAGGAGGCGGTGTCATGAGTTTAGCAGGCTGGTGTCGAAAGGGCTGTAGCTCTGGGCCAGCAGTCATGGAGGAGTAGCTCTGAGCAGAGATGGGCTATCTCCATTCTTCCGTGTAGCATGCTGAGTGACTCATTTCCCTTCCCAAGGCCTCATCATCCTTCAGGACCAGCTCCCACTCCCCTACTTTCACAATTCAGACTCCGCCTCTTCTTTCTCTGGGCAGGAACCAGGGCCCCCTTATGTGTGAGCTCTCCACAGTGTCTTTTAAATACTATATCAGAGGTAGTGAGCTATCGCCCACACCCAACAGCCACCTGGAGCACTTATTAAACATCTGGGTGCCACCATCTTGCTAGAATTTTCGCTCTGCTCTGTGCTATGTATGTGGTACTTCTACAACATGCTTTTCTTACTTAAAAGATTTTAATTAATCTTCTTTAGTGACTCTGCTTGTGTGGGGGAGGGCCACAGAGTACCTGCACAGATCATGTGACCACTCTTTGGCGTCCTCTCCTTCCACCATGTACATCCTGAGCATAGACTGCAGTCATCAGTCTAGCTGGTCCCATAAAATGTGCAGGAGAAAAAGCCCTGGGAAGTACATCCTAAGGCCAAGTCTTAGTTCTTTGAGGACGAGCCACCTCATTTTATTTTACTTATAGTGGGTGTACAATAAATGTTCATGTAAGAATGAATGAAGACACGAACCAACGAGTAAAATTATAATCTGTCTCCTCCTCTGTCAAATGAGCTGACTGGCAGTTCTTTCTGCTTTCTCCTGCTGAAATTTCTCATTCAACAATCAAAGCGGAGTTATTTTGCCTCCAAATACTAGGATCTTAGCACCGTACAATCCACCAACTCAAGCACACAAAACTAGCCGGAAGACGTGCTAACGAGGATTTGGTCCAAGCTAACATGAAAAAGAGTCAGGATTTGTGAAGATCTACAGTTTAGTAAAGTACCAATTTTGCCACAGGCTGGAGACACAAGGAGAAACATCCACAATTTGCCTGTGTCAATTTACAGTGACTCGGCAGTATGCTCCAGATTTAGGGAGCATTATGGGAAAACAGAGGGCACTGGGGATGGGGGGAAGGTGAGGAGTTCATCTGCTCTCAGTTTACCTGGGGCACGCCAGGGGTCAGCAATTCCGGCTCTGCTACAGTGACTTCCTGGTGACAGAAGGCAGCGCCTTCCAAGTCTGCTTGTTCTACCGCCAGGCTGCACGTCCCTCCATCACAGGCACCTTTCACTCCTTCCCCTACAGATTTTGAGGCGGTTCCAGTTTCTCATAAGCACTGTGGCCTGAGAAAAATGAAGGCATCCATTACTTATAACCTCTTAGCATTTCAGAGGGAAAAGGTTGGCCATGGCTGCCAAGGTCCAGCAAATATTTGGTTAGCTTGGAAAGAATGGACGCTCATTTCCCAGCTCTCACAGATTTCTGTATGCCCAGTTTCTTTTATTAAAAAAATGTTAAATCCAGAGATAAAGTCGAATGGCACCCCAGGCTCTCAGCATTCATCTGTATCCTGGGGAGCAGAACCTGAGATCTAAACAAAGAAAATCTCAATCAATAGAACTCATGAATTCCCTCTAGGAACCGGACCCTTGGCAGCAGAGGGGTGGTCGGGACGGCTCGCTCTCTGCAGCTTGCTTTGCGGGAATACTTACGGAGAGTCTCTCTCAACTGAGGGGGTTGGTCGCTACAAATCCGCTGCCACTGTTTGTTGCTTTTGTACAATGTGTGAATTAAGAATACTTACAAAAACAAACAAACAAACAAAACAAAACAAAAACCTCTGAAATGGTCAGAAAAAAATTTTAATGATGTGGTCTGCGAACAAGGGGGCGGTTTCGCAATGACGTTCCCAGGAAACACAACCACACCCGTGCACCTGTGCCTTGTCCACAGCGTCTTTGAACTATGGTGGTAGCGTAGGTGAAACAGAGACCAGGTGGCGATCCACATATAAATTATACACCACCTGGCGCTTTGCAGCCGTTTGCGGACCCTGGGAGTAGGGGGTGAAAGACTTGGTGTTCTCTGTTACCTGAAGGAAGAACTGTAAAATATATGTGCACAGTAAAATAATTATAAATCGAATACCTGGGTACCCTAGCACTTGGATGGAGAGATGAAGCATCGTCGTCCCTCAGCAATTCTGTGTCCCAAGAGCCCAGCGTCAGGACTCTTAGTGCTGGTATTTTTCTTGCTTCCCTTTGTAACGCTAGCACCTGAACTCGGCAACTGAACTGAGTTTTGCTCGTTTCAAAGTAGCAATTATAATAAAGCTACACTGAATGGTCATTTTCAGGTTTCTCTTGATCAAGTCTGAGGCTGCTGTGTGTGGCTTGGGTCCTGTGACCTCCTTTGCAGGTTATCATTCTTTACACCATTCAGTCAAGGCTCACTGGTTCATTTTTACTGTCAGCGGGTAGTTGAGTCATTTCTAGTTTGGAACAGTTGTGAACAGTACTGCTCCATACACCTTGCATCTGAGGTACCCTTGAGGCCAGACTTCCGGCAGAGGAATGGCGGTGGTGGGACATGGGGACCTACCTGCCATCAGCTCTCCTCTTACTGCCAAACCGTTCCCTTGGCGGTTGGAACAAGTCACATCCACAGAAACTGTGACTCGAGGAAGTCGAGGCGTTCCTTTACCCTTCCCGTCAGGGCCTGCTCTCTGACCTCACCCAGTCAGGTGCCCAGACACTGTCCAGCCTCCCTTAAAATCCTAAGTCTTCAGAAGGTAGCGAGGGGGTCCGCTTCCTACAAACGCTCTTCAGCAGAAACATTTCCTTTTGATCCTAAAACGGGGTCTGACTATGTAGCCCAGGACGCCCCAAACTCACAACCGTGGCTTTGCCTCCTGAGTATTTGGCCTGCAGGCAGGTGCCAGCCCTCCCGGCCGATTCGGTGACTCTTTTAAGTTCCCGTGCTTGGTCAAGCCATCCTGACCACCCTCCCTGATGCACGGGTCTGGAGCAGCGGTTCTCAATCTTCCTAATGCTGCGATTCTTTTAAGAGTTTTCCAAATATTGTGGTGACCCCCAACCGTAAAATTATGTCACTGTTACTTCATAACTATAATTTTGCAATTCATAACTGCGCTGAGCTGTAATGCAAATCTCGGATATGCAGAACACCGACCCAGGGGTGGAGAACCACTGGCAGAGAGGAGGCAGGGCACAACTAGGGGTGAGCTGGGCTTCTGAGAGCAGAACGCCAGGGCAGGAACCAGCGTTCCCACGGGGCACCAGGGACTCTGACCCTGATCCCAGGAAGCTGCTGGTGCTGTGCCTGTCTCCAGAAGGTTTTAGGAAAATGGAGCCGAAAGCCCACCCCTCCCACCACCAGCATGGAAGCCCAGCACCTGGGCTAGCAGGCACGGCAGGCACTGCTGAAGCATGATGCGGCGCTGCACTGAAAGAGCACAAATAAACCCCCGGCCCTCGCACACATTTATCCAGTTTGTGAAGTGGATTAATAGAATAACCAATAAAACATGTATAAAAGCTTTAATTAAATGTGATGAAATAAAACTTCATGTTTTATTTATGGACACTCCCGACATGTAAAGGATTCGGGGAGACATTCATTTTTACTGCCATTTCGTCCTCATATCTATAATTAAATCCAGGCTTCAGTTCTGGCCCAAAGCGATGCGGCATTTTAAAGCTGGCCTTGGACACCCCACCCCCATCTGCTCCTAATTATAATTACCATCCCCAATACAGAGGGGGCTGGTGACAGAACAAAACAGAACAATAAAACAAACAAACAAACAACACTGGATGCCGTTGTGTTTCAAAGTGACGCGCTGAAGGAGTGCTTCAGGCCGGAGGGGCACCCTCTATTTCCAGTTTTATTCTGTGCCAAGTACACAATCCCTTCATTTTACTTTTGACATAAAAAAGGACTTCATGAAACAAGACAAAATAACTTACGATTATATGAAACATAACTGTGACAAATCGCAAAACTATACATATTAATAGAAAAAAAAAGTGTACCTAATTCCTTAAAAGATTTACGACAATAAGCACCACATGTGCCTCTACAGTCAAACCGGCCCCATATCCAGGATGATATACGTAGCCCGTTCCTCTACGTGAGCATATATAACAATGTACAAGGGCCTGTGTGATTTATGGAAAACACATTTCCACTTTTGTTTCCCCCAAAGTGCTCTATGTCAGCAACGTTGCAGAGGGCGCTTCTCTATCTGTGGAAAATAAATCTCTCCACTTTTACAAACTCACCGTTGCATCCAACGAGTTTGTTTCGTTCTTTCTCCCTGTCTCTGTTACTTGATCCACAGCAATAACAACATTGGTCTACACAGTCAAATCTAATCAAACGCCAAATAATAAAACTGAACACTATCAATACTTCCAGGCATTAAGGGTGTTATCTGTGCGTCGTGGGGAAGAGTTTGTGACAGGGAGACTGGTTAGCCTTGTTCTGAGCTTGGTTTAAGTGAACTAGTGCTTTTGGCAGTTGGGTCTCTTGAGGACCAATTCTTAAGTGAAAAACAAGGTTATCTGGTGGACGATAGCACATAGTGCCTTGGTATCAGTCACTCACCTGGGCCATGGGGTGGAGACCCGTTTAAGGGACCATAGCTCACAGGGCTGGGAAATATTTAAGCAGTTCTTAAGTGCTGATAAGAGGGAAAACTCTAAACGGTACTTTGATGTTGTCTCTTTAGAAAATTATAGCAATGGATGAAGAATGAAATGTCTCTAGGTAGACTGATCTTTTTGGCATAATAGGATAATTGGCTTTGTGCTTTGTGTGTTTTCAGGAGCACTAGTTTTTATTGTTGTTGTTTGCGTTTTTGTTTTTAAAGGGGAATGACAATGTCCATTTGGATGTTTATGAAAACTGTTCGCTCATCAGGACAGAAAGGGCCTAGAAATGGAAGGGAATAATTTATGTTTCTGAGTTCTGATTTCACTGTTTCAAAATACTGATGGACCCGAAAGGCCAAAGCCAGCCAGGGACCCATTGTAAGCTGAGGAGAAAATCTGGACGCAAGAACAGACAGCTTGTGCAATCTGAAGGACCCTGAATGTGCCATGTCTCTAGGCCGTTCCCAGACCAGAACACACTGGAAGGCCTCTGATGGGCTGCACTGGGCCTGGCTCCAGGCACACTTTTTTTTTTCCCCTGACAGCAAGGATATCTCTTTGGGGTTGTGAGTCAGGCCTGGAGGTCTGACCTAGTGACCCTGCTGACACCAGATCCTCCTTGCTTCCCTCCTACCTAGGTGACCCAGAACAGGAACAGTGCCATGGGGAGAATGGCCACGAGTCCAGATCCTGGCTCACAAAGCCTCACGTCTCCACCACTGGAAGAGCCGTCTGTCATGGTCCTGTGGTTCACTGCTTGCCATGACTCTCCTCCTACTTAAATAAAGCTGTAAGAGTGGGGTCTCCGTTCTTTCTAGAGTGTGACAGGGGTCAAATGAGGGTTGTTTTTAATCAAGCGGTGTTGATGTATGTGTGTTCATGCTTAGACCAAGCACAACAACCCACAAGGTCTAGAAGGCTGGTAGTTCCTAGCAGCCTGAGTGATCACCTGCAGAGGAAGCTCTTACAGCTCAGAAGACCAAAGAGAATCCAAAGCCTTGTGATTCAGATGCTTACATTATGGCTTCCCCTAAGGGCATGGCCTCTTCAGCAACACTAGACCAACCAATGTGCTGTAAGAAGATAACCCACACTCGGTTCTTTTATCAACCCCATTTAGTGGCATCTTGGGGTGAAGCATGGGATGAAGTGGAGGTCTGCTGATTTGGGCCCAGACTCACAGTTCTGTCTATTAGGATACGAGCAGTCTCAGGACCCGAGGTCTGACATGAGCTAAACTGTCTCATTGAATACCATGATGATCTCAGTCTCTGAAGAACTTTGCCTCAGTTCTGTTTTTTTTTTTTTAAAGAAGAAGAAGAAGAAGAAGAAGAAGAAGAAGAAGAGAAAAGCAAAGAAAAGAAAAGAAAAGAAAAAAGAAAAAGGAAAGTCCTAAAACATGAGCAAACTGGATGTTGGAGCTGGCCAAGTTTTTGGAGTATGGCCTATTTGTGTAGCATTTGTCCTAGAACATAGGTCTTTTTAAAAGTGTTTCTCTAAAAGTGTCACCGGGAAATGAGGTCTTGTTTATGCTAATCATAAAAAAAAAGAAAAGGTTTTATGTTATGTGAAAAATTCCAGGCCTTCTAAGCAGAGTTCCAGAATGTCTCTTGAGTTTACCTTCTTTGAACCTTCCCAAGAGCTGATAAAATCTGGTGAATGGTTGCCACCGCTGAGCCACAGTGAGGAAGAAAAAGTGTATAAAAGCAGAGAAGAAAGCCATATAGAGGAGACGCATAGGTGAGTGGATCCTTTTAAGGAACTGGGCAGAAGCCACAAAAAATAACTGGACAACAGGTGCCCTTGGAACACTACACACAACTCCATGGGTGCCAGCTCTTAGGTTTCCTGGTCTGCCCCAGGCAGAGCACCAGAGCAATGCATGAACCATTCCAATGAAAAGGTTTTCAGGGTGAATTACCGAGCCATCAATACATGAGAGCTGTTTTTCTTGAGACACGGATTTATTATGTAGCCCTGACTGGTCTGGAACTCACTGTGTAGACCAGGCTAGCTTCAAGTGCCTTCCTTGTGCTGGGATTAAAGGTGTACACCACCACACTCAACATATGAGGGTTCTTGCCAAAGTCCCGAAGGCAGACACGTGTGCGCATGTGTGCGTGTGTGTGCGTGTGTGTTTTGATCATTTTGTTTCCCACAGATAACCTTTGCTAAACTGCAAAACTAGGCCAGGAAGAGGTATAGCCGTGATATGTATCTGGGGGTGATTAAAATGGTAATGACTTCTACCAACAGAACAAACCTTTAAATATTTTTCCTTTGGAAGCGGATGTAAATAGCAGGTCTTTAAAGTTCAAAAACAAAGTAGGTTGCCGAATAGAAGACCTTATTTTGTCATTGGAGGCGCAACTGAGAAGCACAGGCTAGGTAAGACAAATGGGAAAGCCAGTTTGAGAGAGTCCAAGCCACACCATGCTTCGGCATAAGGCTGCCCTCACCGTTCACGGCTGTGCATCATTCAGTCATGAGAGAAAACATGGGTGAGGCAGCACATTATGCCTCTGGTAACGAGGCTGTCTTCCTCTCTTTGACTCTTCAGCAAGGATCATCCAGTTCACATGCACGTTCATTGGTGTCTGTTGAGACCTGAAAGCCAGGAAGTAACTCTAAATTCCCTTTCAACAGAAATTTGTGTTGGTCACCTGACCCAGCAAACTGAGGGAAAACAGAAAAGGTGCAAGCATTCCCGAAAGCCAGACCTGACCATCCAGTCCTGCCTTCCACAGACCTAGTGACCCTACTGGCTCCATGGATTTGGTTGACATTCTCCACACAGCTTGTGAGAGTTTTGAAAATTAGAGGTGATGAGTGACTTAAAGGTCCTGGCTGTGCTGGAGGGGCCCAGGGACCTTTCAGCCTTCGGTGTACACAGAGGAGAGCTGGCTAGGACAGCGATCCACAGCGCTGAGCTGCAAGAACGTGGGATCTTCAGGGCCGCTGCGAAGAGATTCCCCAAAGAGGCTTGATGAAGCTGAAGGCAAGTCATACACTGGAAGGGAAAACACAGGCAGTTAGCCCTTGCACTAGGTGGCCTCAGTGGCTGGCCTCTACGTCCATGCCACCTACAAGATACTAGGGGTGATACTATCCTCAAGGAACAGAATAGGAGAAGAGGCTGGTTTGCATGGGGCATGCTAAAACGTGCCACATCACCAACTATGGCCTCAGCAGAAGTAAAAGTGTTTTAGGGAGGAATGAGGGTGACCTCAGAAAGGGGACAAGAGTAGAGTCATGGGGAAGAGTGGGCTTCACAGATGGCAAAGTAAGGAAAGACTATTTCAAAAGAAGGTGACAGAGCTAGGGCAATGAAGAGGGGCATGTGGGATAAGGAGAGTGAGTGTTTAAGCCAGGACAAGGGTAAAATGTAGGGAAGACAAATGCAGGAAGACTGGAGTACCTAACTAAATACTCCGTAAAGTCATGAAGCCTCTGCGCTGGGCCAGAGAAGACAGCTCAAGAGTTGCTGAGACTGGACACTATTAAGGTATTCTAGAAAGAAACGGACTCAATTTATCACTTGGGTTACCAGGCAATGCCAAACGGGACAGAATGACAAAGATAAGGGGGTGTACTGGGAGATGTTGCCACAGCCCACGGGAGAAATTCTGGTTCCTGTGCAGGTGAACGAAAGGGTGAGAGTCAGGGAGCAAGGAAAAGATGAGCGTTATCTCAGGGGTAGTTGAACTGGATTCCGTACGCTCCCTGTCAGCCACAGGGAAAGCACCTGGCTTCTGTCTCACCTTGTCGGCTAAGCCACAGACACCCACCTGTAATGCCCGAGTGTGTTGAGAAGGCTCTATGAAAAACATCAAACCCTGCCTGACCCATCGATGTGGGGACCAGGCAGTCCTCAAAGGAAGGCACCATACTGCAGGAGCTGCTGGGTGGCACAGTTCTCTGGGAGTCAGGATAATGCGGAGGGCAGAATGTCTGCAGCTGGCCATAAAATCCTGAAACACAATCATGGCAATGAGTTATTTCAGGGCAGAATCCATCCCTAACCAGGAAGAACTTCACTGAGTCGATTTGTCAAAATGCCTCTGCATGGTAGACTACCTGAGACGCCTTCTAACCGAGCATTTGGATGAGCTGCCTTCAACGCTTGCTGGCTTGTGAACGTTTTAGGAAGAAATGTTCTCACCCCGGCCCCTTCCACTGGGATTTGCATGCATCTTAACTTCCTTTATCTTACATTTCAGGCTGTTTACATATGTGACAAAACTCCACAGAATATCCTCAATCATGCCCACAATAAATACAAACAAACTAAAAAACAAAACCCAGCACAGACCTATCTATCCATTTAATCTTCTTCCTGCTTTTACATAGCTTCACAGTACCTCACAGCTGGATATAATGGAAACTATTTCACTATTACTGTTGCTGATCCTTGCAGAAAAAGGGGAGAACTGGAAGGGAATAAATAAAGATGATAAAGAAATGAGAAGCAATATCTTAATGCCTGAAGATCACCACTAACTTTGGGACAATCATGTTTCATCTCCCCTTTCACTTCTGGTCTTACTCAACATTATTTTTCCAGCCTTCCCACTTGGTCCTTTTCTATGATGCTCTACATCCTTCCTGATTTCTTACCGTTTTCCCTTTCTCTCTTGCCTTCGTGATAGTGTGATGGTGTGTATCAATGGATTATTATCTGAGCGTATAAAATGCTTTTAAAAAATTTAATAATGTAATCTTGATTCCACACTCTACTGACGGGGGAGTTGAGGCTCTTCTGCTTCCAATGCCGTTGAGCATTTTGTGTTTTCTCAGCTGAAAATGTGAATGCCGCTGTCTGCGGCACAGGGTACTGGGCACACCGACTGGGTCACTGGAATAAGGAAGCAGGTCTATAATGTTCTAAAGTGCTTTGGAAATGACAGTCATTACTGATGTGACGATTCTGTTCTGAGGGAAGAAGATGAGGGGATCCGTAGAGGAAGTGCCCTACAGTTCCGCCCTCAAACACTGAGGGAGACAGAACTTGGGAACGCTGGTCTCACATGTCTTCCACCATTAGAGCTGTCTCTCCTTAACCCTGGAAAGCTTTATTGAGGATCCCTCAGGAGGGAAGAGGGTGCTGTTTTTGTTTGTTTGTTTGTTTGTTTTGGTTTTAGCTCTCTTTAGAAGCAGGGAAATGAGGTGCACACCCCACTGCAAATGCACTCCTCTTGTTGCTCATTTGGAGCCTTCAGCTGTCTAGCAAAAGCCTGGCTCACCTTGCCTAAGGGCTACTCTAAGGGGCTGTAAATATTACTAAAACTGTGCTTAACTGCTGCTCAAAAAGACACATACCCCATCCTCGAGGAGCTGATGATGTAAGACGGAGACAAAATACAGATGGATGCTCAGGACACACTCGCGCTCTCACGAGCCTTTGCAAGTGAGTAACGGCGCATTTCATATCAAATCCATAGAGAATATTCACGTAAGGTTCGGGGAAAGGTAGATTATCACCACAACTTATACTAAGAATACATCTATGGAAATTCCACATCGAAGCAGGGGGGAAGAGAAGACAGTGATTTCTGTTTTTGATTCCCAGTGGCTTTTGTATGTTTCTAAACGAGAGAGGCAGAGACCCAAACAGATAACTTTCAAACAACTGACCAAAATGAAGGAAGTCAATGTCCAAGCTGGCCAAGAAACAGACATTAAAGTAACAGTCACAATTTGTGGTCTCTGTATTACACTGGCAAAGCTCTCTCCTTGTGGCTGAAGAGTGAGTGGAGACATAAGTCTTGTAGACTTGAGAAAAGTAGATTCCATTTTCCAGATCCTAGGGCAAGTGCCTGAGTAGCTCCAACTAGAAGTAAGTACACCCATGGGTTTAATCTCTTGGACTGAGAAGCAATCCTGAAAGACTATGCTGAAGTGCATGTTCTGCCAAGAGAGTCATTACAACACAAATGACGACAACACCAGAGGCCAAATGGCCAAGCACCAGAGAGTGGCAGAACACAGACGCCATACTTCCCTGGTGGCAGAACTGAACGGCCCTCCCAACAGTGCTCATCAGGCATCCTAACAATACCAGCCAGTGCCGTCTCCAAAGGGACGGGGCTGCGATCAGGATATAAAATGAATAGATAAATAAATTTAAAAAATAAAAAGGAAAAACCAAAACTGAGTAGTTTATGGAAGGTCAGCTTGTCTATGATTAGCTTGTCTCCATCCTAAGTCTAAGCATAGGATGGAGACAGCAAAATACTTTATCATTGGTTGTCTTTTTTTGTTCTGTTTCTGCCCAGATTTTAACAGTGCTGAGAAACAAGTGATCTGGAGTCCAACCACCTGAGTTCAAATCCTGACTAAAATACATACCTACCGTACAGTCTTGCTTTTTGTCTTAACCTCTAAAATAGTGTTAACGGAGGTGACAGAATCACACTGAGTTATTACGAAAAATTATAGAAGCTAACATTTATATAGCACATAATAATGATCCCTGTATTTTGATAACATAATATATATGTAAAATTAAAAGTAAAATCACCTTACTGTGAAAATAAGAGTTCTCAAAAATAAGATAAAATTGATTATGGAAAGTTGAAATTTCAGAAAGACAAGATGTCTTCAACAAACAAGTGTGAGGACAGATGCAACCACAGGTAATAGACACTAGCATGGAACTAAGAATAAATTACTGTAATCTTAAAGGTACATCACAAGCTGAAAAAAATGGATAATATGGGCTCATTGGAGAAATGAGCTATGGTTCTCGGACACTGCATGAAAGAACATGGACCAAGACTTCTTCACTCGCCTCAGTGGGCCTAGAAGAAGTCTAAGCACTTTGAAATAGCCAGAAATTTGGATCTGTTGGTGTGGGTCATCCCTTTGACAGAGCTTGACTTTGCATCCCTGTAGTCAGGTGCGTGTAGGGGCAGTCTGGGTACATCCAGAAGAACTGATCATCACGGTCTATTGGAATGTAGTGTCTCCTTACTGAGCGTGACAGACATTTGCTACGCACAGCTCCAGGCTGGCTCCGTTCGAATTTGTCACCCATAAATTCCCTCGTAGCACTCCTTAGGGTAACATTACCCTTCCGAGAAGAGGAGGCATTTTTCACTGAGCTCCCATGGCTCTCCAAACAGGGACATCAATCATTCAGGTGCAGTCACCGAGACACTCACTGGCCTTTTGTGAAAACTAATTCATTCTTTTTTCTTACCTTTCTTCCTGCTTCCGAGGGGGAGCAGCAGCATCACTCGCTTCAGTCTGTATTCTGGTGTTGTGATGTGTCTAAGTTTAAACAGGTTGGGATACAGCAAAATAGACCCAGTGACACCCAGGGTTCCGGGCGTCGTCTCCCACTTGGGACCGAAGGAAGGAGAGAGCAAATATGATTCCTGCCTGGGAACCCTGATTGATTTGAGAAGCTATCAAAATCCAGGATGTCCTCACAAGCATATTTAATTACTCTAATAGCTAACCAGGAAAGGTGAAGGTGATACCTCTTCTTTACCCTTCAGGTAGCCAGCATAGAGACGCTGAATAGACTGCTGTGGGTGGCAGGGTCAGTCAACTCAAGGCGTTTTAACATGTTCTCTTCCAGTGCTATTTCCATAAAACTAACAAGATTAAAAAAAAAGATTCCTTTAGGATCCTGTCACACATACAAACCTAGAGACAGCCTAGCTCATTTTCTAATGAATGGTTCCTATATTCCAGTGGCTGGTTTTCAAGCAGCAAGTTTGGTAAGGGCATGACTTCTCAGACCCAAAGCAAAATGATATAAGATGTTAACACATTTTGTGAGCAGAAAACCTAAGAACGATGGCAAGGTCAGCCAGTCTGTCAGTCAGTTGGTAATGGTTATCAAGGGCTGGTTCAGGTACTGCTGGGGAAACCGAGGAAACAGAGAACAGTACTGGTTCTGGAGGACTGATATTGGAGTTGGAGCAGGGACACACAAACCAACACAAACTGACAAGAAATGTTAGCCACCAAAGTTACTTACAAACAACATCCCTCCTTTTAACAAGTTCTTCACTTCCAAGAACAGAAACGGACAGATGCAAAGTTCATCTCGTTTTACCTAAACGGAAGCATCTAAAAGATCAAGGGGACTTGTTCCTCCTCCTCATCTCAATTTTGGCAAGTTCCTTTTTCTTTCTAAAAACATATTTGCTTTCCTAATTATAAAAAGATTTGGGGCTAATTATAACAATGTACGTTGGCAAAACAACAAGTGAAAGAAATTATCTTTATTTACATAGTTGAGAAATGGCCAAATACATGCCTTCATAACTTAGAACTACTTTGAATCACACATACACACACCTGTGTGTATAATATATATGTGTGTGTGTGTGTGTGTGTGTGAAAATGTAATAATGAAATTGATTACTTAGCAAGTTGGCTCAAATTAATATATAAATTAATATATAAGATTATTTGTATCTTATTTTATTCACTAATACTGCCTGAGAATTTCTTCATGTATCACTATAATCCATTCCTAAAAGCTGTACAATTTGTCACAGAGGGTCCCCTGCGGTCCTTTGACTACAAGTGAGAACAAAGTTAACAGTCACTTCTCTGAGGCTAGGTGCTGATTTCCTTCCCAAGCGGAAGAGGAAGTCACAGAAGGGAGGAGCAGATGTCTAAGGCACTGCTGCCCAGCAGGTTCCTTCCTTGGGCATGGCAGTGCTTGTCTGCACTGTCCAGTGGAGTGGTTCTGTGTGGTTAGCAAACATTTAAAATGAAGCTGGCTGACTTCCATTCAGTTTAAACTGATTCACCTTTACATGGCCACACATGGTTCATTTCACAGCACTACACAGGCAGAGTAGTTCTAGATAAATTCAGATTCCCAGGCCCAGCCAACCATGTTTCACCAATGTTCTCAATTAAATTCCTGATTATGCACACATACACGTGCGTGCATGATTGCGTGCATGATACAGACAAATGTAATCAAAAACAAGAAAAACAAGAG